TGTTCTTTTTACTCTACATTGAAGTTGATCACATCTTTTTTATTTATTTCTTTCTTCTTCATTCCTCTATCTCTTTCTTTTTTCTTTTCTCCTGTTTAAATTTTGGCCAAATCTATTTAATTACTTTTTTTGGTTCTTCATATTTCTCCCTCTTTCTTTTTACTTTTTAGTCTCGTTTGAATTTTGCCACCTCTGTTTTCATTTCTTTCTTTTTCTTTTCTCTCTCACTCTCTTTCTTCTTTGAATTTGTCGCTTCCGTTTCAGATTTTCGTTCTTTTCTATTCTCCCTCGATTTCGTTTTTTTCTTTTCTCTCTTTCTAAATTTTTTAGATCATTTTTCGAGTTATTTTAATTCTTTTCTAATTTCTTTTTTTTCCATTCCTTTTTGTTCATTCTTCCTTTCCTTTATACCATTATTTCTTCTTCTTTCTCCCTTTACTAATATTTCTTATATTTTCTCCTCTTTATTGTTTTTCTTTTCTTTCTTTATTCTTTCAGTCTTTATTTTTTCTTTTTTTATTTCTTTATTCTGTTCACTTTAATAACATATTCTTTTTTCTTTCATTTTTATCTCTGTCTGTCTGTCTATCTCTCTCTCTCTCTCTCTCTCTCTCTCTATATATATATATATATATATATATATATATATATATATATATTAGTGGTGAATATACATATACATATGCAATATATATATACATACATATATACATACATATTTTGTGTAAAATGTATGTGTATGCATGTATATATATATATATTTTGCATATGTATGTGTATATTTACCACTAATATTATCAATATATTGCTTCTTTCAATTATTGATGAATTGGATCGTATTTACGATTCCAATGGAATAAATTGTGACCATGGAATATTAGTGTTTAAGCCTTTTCATTATATATATATATATATATATATATATATATATATATATATATATATATATATATATATATATATATATATATATATGCTAGGTGGATACAGCGTTTTGTTTTCTGACGCTCATCAATATAAATAAGTATATATATATGTATATATATATATATATATATATATATATATATATATAGAGAGAGAGAGAGAGGTGGTGAGATAGAGATAGAGAGAGAGACAACGAGAGAGATAGAGCGTTTGTTTTTGACGCACACCAATATAAACAAGTATAAATATATATATATATATATATATATATATATATATATATACAAGTATATATATATATATATATACAAGTATATATATATATATATATATATATATATATATACATATATATATATATATATATATATATATATATATATATATATATATATATATATATATATTTTTATTATGTGCGTATTCTAACCACCGTCATATATATATATATATATATATATATATATATATATTTGTTTGTTACGTTGAGGAGGAAGAGTTCTTTAACTCAGTTATAATTCATTCTTTCTTTTCTTTTTCTTAATTATTTTTATTTTATCATTTCATTGATCTTTCGTAATTTTTCTTTAAAATATACTTTTTGTTTTACTGTGTAAGAATTATTTCTTCCATATTTTCTTTTATTCTTCTCTTTCCTTCAAAGAATTTTTTTCTATCTTTCTTTATAATTATACTTTCTTTTTCGAATTCCTTTATTTCTCTTTTTTAATTATTTTTCTGTTTTTTAAATCATTATTTTTCTCTCATTTCTTTCCTCCATTTTCCTTCCTCTCCTTACTAATTAATTATATCTACCTTCCTTTATTTATTCTATGCATTATCTTCGTCTCTTTTCGTGTAACATACGTCATTAATCTTCAATAATGTTTTCTCTTTTTTTGGTAATTTTAGTATCTTGCAAGTTCTTTTATTTTTTTTATTATTAAATAATATATTTCTTTCAGATTCTCATTTCCGTTAATATTCGATTTGTATTCTCTTTTTTTATATATTCAGCTCCTTTTATTTTTGTTCTTTCTCTTCCCATCTTTATATTTATTTAATATGCAAAAGCTCGCAGAATATCAGCATTCTTCTCTCGGTTATTGTATTTCCTGTCTAAACTCTTTTTCACTTCTCTTCATTTCCTCTTTTCTCTCTCTCGCCGTCATAGCCTTTTCCGTTTCCTCTCCTATCCACAACCACTCGACCAGTCCATCTTATGTCCTCCCTTCGATGGATTATCGAGAACGGTTTTGATATCGGAAGTCTGATCTCATCATCCAGTTTTGGTTTTCTTAAACAGATTCCGACGGTCAGACCTGTGACTTATTTCATTGACCAATAGGTCTTTGGCCTTCGATTGGTCAGAATCCGGAAAAAGCAGACCAGCCATCTCCTTTTACTCAATCAGCACTCGTTTCATGTGAAGCTGTCGATAGCCTGAATAAGGGTTGATTTTACTTTGATTCCCATTAGACACGCCTTCTGATTGGAATGTAACTTACACATATCCGCAGGCACAAACCCCGATATAGCCAACGTATATAAGCATTTATATGAAGCCACCATTATATAAAAGTGGGTAGATAGATAGATAGATAGATAGATAGATAGATAGATAGATAGAACAGACTGAGATAGATAGATAGATAGATAGATAGATAGATAGATAGATAGATAGATAGATAGATATGAACTAAATGAAATGTAAAGATATATAGGTATCGAAATATTAACAGATGCTAGTTAACTAGTCAGTTAGATTTATACGAATAGAGATATACACCCTGTCTGAAGTTATTAAGCAAATATTATAAACTTCTATAGATCAAATTTGGCTTAAAATAGATGTCAAATTTTAAACAATCAATTTAGATGTTAAATCAAAGCCTGAGTTAAAATATGTTTTATTGAAGTTTTTAAAGTTACTTGATGTATTTTTTAAAAAAACTTCGGTCTGAAGTTCTTAGTTAAGTAAGTTATGTGTCATGCATGATACATGTCTAGGCGATCATGTATCTTTCGATACATGACAAACGGCGCAGGTTTTTGCCCGCAGTAGGTTGCCATTTCATTCTGCGTTAGACCAGTTTCATCCAAGGCTATAGAACCCAGCCTGTTCTGCTATTTAACCATAGCTGGTGGGAGAAGAAGAGGAATTATACCTTTCCCAAGTGAATGTAATTGATTCGACTGGAATTCGGACACAACTCTCCGATTCCTCAATCCGAGCCGCTCTTAGGCAAAATCAAATAATCGCAATTTACTTCAATAAAAAAGTAATAAAATCATCAGGCACTGACCAAAACCTAAAATGAAGAAATAAAAAAAAAACAAATGATAAGTGTTTGCATCCTTTGCATTTTAATATAGTGACCCTTCTCAATCACAGACAGTAATCCTTTTGACATAGTTAATCATTTTTCCTTCAAGAGGTTCAATTTACGACTCTTAATTGCTTACCATAGATCTGCTTTTTAATTACTTCCCATAGATCTACGCTCCTTGATTTGCATTTTATATTGCTTGCCACCTTCATATAATTTCGTCTTCTCAGTTCAAAACTGAAGAACACAAAGACACTCTGATGAAAAAATGCAACCGAACACTCTTCGGGATATGCAGCTACTTATTAGAGGTCCATGAATTTCAGTTCAAAGACGGATCAAAATTAATTATCATTTCTCGTGCCACTCAGAGAAATTAATGTACATACTTATATGCAAAGGTTGCCATGAACATTACATTGGCGAAACCGGCCTGTCATTCTAGCAAAGGATGACAGTTCATCGCCAACAAAGCAGGTACCCCACACCAGAAAAATACCCCTCAGTCAACATATAGAGAAATCCGGAGTACAAAATCTGCCAAATTATAGTGTCTTCCCATTCTACCAATGCGCCTAGAGAACCTCTGAACAAAGGCGGATAAATATGGGGAAATATTTTTCATCAACAAGTTCAAACTGATACTTAATTCAATACATAAATAGGTTCGACCAAATCCCCCTTGCCAGTTACGTCCCTTGATTTTCATTTTTTTCAAAATATAAGCATCAACAGGTTTCATAGAGAAAACGTAATTTTATTAAGAACTTAGCGAAAGCGGTTAAAGTAAAAAAAAAGTTAAAAAAGGAAAACAACAAATTATTTTTCTAAGAAAAAAAACTGAAAATACAATTGTTAAGTAAAAGAAAATTAAAAAAAAAAAGAAAAATAGAAAATTATTTTTCTAAGAAAAAAACACTGAAAATACAATTGTTAAGTAAAAGAAAATTAAAAAAAAAGAAAAATAGAAAATTATTTTTCAAGAAAAACACTGAAAATACAATTGTTAAGTAAAAGAAAATGAAAAAAAAGAAAAACAGAAAATTATTTTTTAAGAAAAAAATGAAAATCCAATTGTCAGTTTAAATACTTCTCTGTTAAAATTCAAATATTATACACGCATACCCCCCCACACCCATATATATATATATATATATATATATATATATATATATATATATATATATATATTATAAATTAATTGATTTAAAATATTTTTGCTACACAGTTCTAACCATGTTTCAAAAATGGAAGCTGAAAGCTCCGAACTTAATTTTGTAATTAAATTAAAGACATTAGTTACATTTCATCCTCAAGCGAATTCGCTTGAGACGAATAATTTGTTGTTTTCCTTTTTTTCTCAACATTGGAAGCTGAAAGCTCCGAATTTAATTTTGTAATTAAATTAAGGACATTAGTTCCATTTAATCCGCAAGCGAATTTTTATGGTCTAACATGGTTAGAACTGTGTAGCGAAAAAAACATATTTTAAATCTATTAATTTATAATATTAATGCTCTGTAAATTTACATTGAGCACTATTTTGTAAAAATAAAAATATCTATAAGAACACCGGATTATATATCTTGCTGTTCTTTCTTTTTATTAATATATATATAATCGACTCTCCGGTCGAGATTCGACGTATGAGGGTCAAGCAGATCAGTTTACAGGAAACCGACAGCCCGACAACAGCACATGAGATTTGATTATAGTGGTGAAAGCTTCGTGCAGGACCATCCACACTTTTTGAAGGGACGAATACAGAGACCTTGCGCACTACGTGCCACAAGGTCCCCGAACGACCCTCCGCAGGGTTGGATTCAGAGTTGTCCTTCTCCAAGACCAGTTGCAATCCAAGGCTATAAAACCCAGTCTGTCCTGCTATTTTACCCATAGATGGAGGGAGAGTAAGAGGATTCATACCTTTCCAAAGGGTATTAACACGTAAATGAATGTAATGGATTCGACTGGAATTCGAACTCGGCTCTTCGATTGCTCAATCCAAGCCGCTATCCATTACTCCACCGTGGGTGCGTGGCCAAGTGGTTAAAATTAATTTTTCGGTTTTCAACGGGCAACAACTCTGGAAAGTGCCTGGAAACCCTACCACATGTAGGCCCAAGCCCTGTGAGTAAATTGCTCGGAACCAGGAAGTTACAAGTCATCATGACTGAGGACTTGCAGGCCTGGTTAAAAAGCAAATTGAACACGACAGATTATGCAGTCTCTCCTAGAAAGTGTAAGGGTTTTCAGTAGAGTTGCCATATAAACCACCGTGGTTTGTGCGAGATACAAGAAAAAAATCCCGAACTAGGAAAGTAAAAAAATGGCCGAAAGGCAAACACCTACCGATGCAGTTAATTAATGTGCTCAACGCCCAGACTATCTCGCCAAAGCAAAAAAAAAAGAAAGCTTTACGCCATTAACATTCAACGAGTGTCCCTCTCTCGAGATTGTCTCTTTTACAGTTTTCGGTTCATTCTGTTCAAATAATTACTATTTTTGCACCGTCTGCTGGTTTACCTGATGTGTGGCACAAATACTACACGTTTCCTGCAGCATTTGTTGCAAATTAATCGAATTTCCCTTGGATCCTTGATTGCGTGACCTTGCCTCAGTTTCCTCAGATGTTCCATCTTAGATTTCACGTGCAGATTAATTCGGGTGTCGCCGGGTTTTCATCAGATTTCACGCTTTTGAACAATCCCTTTCAAATGATTTTGCTGCATTCCAATTGATTTTCGCTTATCATGGACTTAAACTTGGTATATCGTAAGATGGGCTTCTACAATTATAATGACCCTCTGACGCATTACTTAAGAGCCCCACACGAGCCGAGACATATATATATGTTAATTTCTTGAAAATTAGGATGGGCCTGTCATCTCTCCATCAATTCAGAACACTGAAAATTATAATAATGTTGGTTTAAAAGAGTCGAATGCACGTGACACATGATTGGCTAATGAAAATCAAACAAAAGAAAAGTAATAATACCAGAATTTATTTCTCTTTCTCCATATCTATTTCTCCGATTATGCTTTAATAAAAGTGGAACATTCTGGGTGGTTTGAAGCTACATCAATATAACGCGGCCATTGGTTATTTTTCCTACATGGAAAGCGTTTATTGCTGTAGGTGCAAACCACTCCAGGCATGTTTTAAAACATATACCTAACGGAATTAGTTATAGATTCTCTAATAATTCATCCAGTGTTAATATTTTTAATTAAAATAAACAAGATTACGAAAGGGCCTTTGAAATTAATGGACACAAAATTAAACTGATACACACACACACACACACACACACACACACACACACACACACACACATATATATATATATATATATATATATATATATATATATATATATATTGACATTCATATTTCACCTAACACGCAAGGTAAACATAAAAATAGGGTCAGGAAGATATCATAGTTTAATCCTCCATATAATTTACCGTTGCAACTAAAAATAGGAAAATATTTTTTTTTAATTATTAAAAAAGTTCCCGCCTACAAAACTATTGTACAAAATTTTCAACAGAAATTATGTTAAATTAAGTTATAGTTCTATGTTAATTAATAAATACAACAGAAAAAAATCATAGAGAAACCACACTCCAATGCCCCTAAATCTAATTATAGAAATAAGGACTTCTGCCCATTTAAGGGCAGGTGCCAACAAGAATGTGTGGTTTACACTGAAATAAAACTAATAATAGTAATAAGAACAGTAAATTTTACATAGGATCCAACCAATGTAATTTCAAAAAGCGTCACTATAATCATTTAAGTAGCTTTAAGCATGAAAATTACAAACGCAGCATTAACCTGTTTACATACATATGGAATATTAAACAGGAAGATGGTATTGACCCCATTTTAAAATGGGAAATACTAAAAAAATTCCATTAGTAT